TTGCGACAGTGGCAGACTCGTCGACAGTGTTAGCGACCGAGATCGACGGCTTAGAAGGGAAAATTTTATTTATTTGGAAAAATTTTATTATTTGGGAAACCCTAAACCAAGCTCTGATACCATGTTAAAGTAAGAGAAAAAAAGAGTCTTGGGTAAATTTCCCTTGAATTGAATATTGAGCGTGTACATATATATATACAAGTAGAGTAGGGTGAGGTTTGTCCTTATAACCAATGTGGGACTAAACCCACTACTAACACAATATTATCAACAATTCTCATGTATCAAACAATAACAATAAGCACAAAACAGCGAAAACAATGAACTAGTTGAAGATTGAGCTGTATCCACCTCTAAACAGATGATTCTATTAAACACAAAATTCAATAATAAAAAAACAACAAACTTTAGAATAATTCATAATATATGTGATTTATGACAAGGAATGGAGTCAGTCTCAAGCTTAGGTCATGCCACCAGTACCATGAGAGGAAGAAAAAGAAGCTAATAACTCCAAGTGAATCCGAATGTATTTACCTTACGGAGAAGTTAATAAGATCTAAGTTCTCACCATGAAGATAAAGAGATCATTAGAAGTGTGAAAAGATATATCTACATACAGTCCCTTGCGTTGCCGAGGGGTAGTGACAGTAGCAAAATGTACATAGAATTACCAGACCTTGTAATGCCTGGCTCTCTGAACCATAACTTGATTGCCGGAAATCTTCCACTCAGATCAAAACATCACCACGATATCGAGCAGAGGAAGTATAAATCGCCACAAAATAAATTTCCTTGAAATACTGGTACTGTACATCCCAGGAACAATCTTCTGCTCGATGATATGAATGTTCAACATAAGGTCGGTAGCATAAGGGTAAGCTACAAAGACATGACAGTTCCTGGAGATTCTGATAACTTCACCATGCCTAGTATGTGCATCAAGGCAAAGACAATGGCTGACTGTTCATGGTGGCTGCTTAGCATTGTCATCCACCTCATCATCCAAATCATGGAGCAAAATTCATTTGGCATTCCATCCAAAGAGCTTCCCTGCATCATAGATGTCCAAGTTCAACTCCATATGCTTAAAACTTTTCAATTGCTAAGCTGCGCACCTCACAGTGAGATATGCAGCTCACTAAGCATCTCCTTGATGAAAGTCCAGGTTTCTCGGTGCCTCTCTCAAAAGCCTAATCATATGACAGTAAAACCATAATTCTCATATTTTTAGGGCCAAGGCCCATTTCATTGTGCAATAACAGATTCAAGACTCCCAACCTCTTCTAGCAATGCAACATGGCTTAAGGCAGAGAGAAGCGACGTGAATGTCACATTGTTTAGTTTTAGGTTATTAACCGTCTTCATTCTATCAAACAGCTCCATTGCCTCTTTGACTTGCCCATTAAATACATATCCGGAAATCATAACACGCCAAGCCACAAGATCCTTGTCTCTCATACTTTCAAAGACCTCTCTAGCAGTCTCCAAGCTTCCACACTTACAGTACATATTAACTAATGAAGTATTGATGATTAGATCCATCTTCATCCCAATATTCATAATGTACTCATGAATTGCTTTTCCCTCTTCGATCACACCAAGTGAAGCACATGCGCTCAAAGCTCCAGCTAAGGTGATTGAGTTTGCTAGAAGGTTCTTAGAGTCTCTTAGCCTATAAAAGAGATTCAATGCTTCTCTTGGATGCCCGTTTCTTGAATAGCCCAGTATCAAAGAATTCCATGAGCCCATCTCACTTCTTGGCATCTCATCAAATAACTTCTGGGCATCAACCAAACTATTCAATCTTATGTACATGTTAATTAGTGTAGCTCCGATGATCTCATTATTAACTGACCCAGCTTTAATCACAAACCCATGCATCATTCTCCCTTGTTTCAATTCATAAGATGCAGAGATCATACATGTAAAGGTCACATCACTAGCCTCAGACCCTTCCGTGAGCATCTGAGAGAACAAATCCCATGCTTCCTTTATGTTACCGGCCTGAGCATGTGCATTTATCATGGCATTCCAAGAAACAACGTTACGGTCAGGCATGGACCGGAAAATGAGCTCAGCAGAGTCCAGGTCGCCAAACCTGTAGTTTCATGTTTAGAATTCAGATTGTTTAGCTGGAGGATGAAATGACACGTAAAAATGCAGAAGCCGGTATAGAACTAGACTCAACAAGCTGTGAATGAAGTTTTCTACTTGAGATTGCAGTTGCAATAGAAACAGGAACAGGAAAGATTGTAACTGCTAAAGATATAAATACAAGAACAAATTAAATAAAACTCCGCCTAATTTTGACAAATTCTGATAAGTCGGGAATGATTGTAAATTGCCCATCCAAAAGTGTTGCTTTATACTATGTGGTGAACAATTGTCCTATCAAAAGCCAAGATTGGATTTTTAAATGAACAAGCTTTGATGGATTGGAAAACATAGTGCTCCAGAAGCACCTTCATTTTGTTCCATATACCTGCATTCAATCAGTAAGGGGAAAATGATAGATAGCAACTGTTAAATCTTTGTAGATTCTTCAAAAAACTTCAACTAGCAACTTCTTCCTTTTTTTTAGTTTCCTTTGAGAAAATCCAACTGACTGCCATAAAAGAAGGGAGAAATCAGATCGAAAAATAACATACTTTTGAAAGTAAAGTCCAGCTGGTTTTGACAAACAGTAGATTTTGTCTTATATATTCAAAACGAGAAAGTTATAAGTATATACCCTTACTAGCTTTCTCTCCTAATTACACCCATTCTAAAAGTGTACTTTTAAGAGCCAAATGATCTCAACAATTCATAAAAATTTTATGACTATGCAATGCAAACCTTGGGTACATAAACACAAGCGCAGAATTCACTGACACATCACCTCTCACCTCCTCACCCGCCTTAACAACATGCCCATGAATTGCCCTTCCAAATTTCTCATCAACCAACCGCCCACAAGCCATAATAACACCTGAAAGCGTAGTCCTATTTGAATCCAAACCCTCAACCCTCATCCCGTGAAAAACCTGTAAAGCTGATTCATACTCCTCCTGCTTCGACAACCCCGTGATCGCAGCATTATAAATGGGCAAGTCCGGGTTAGGAAATTCTTCGAGCAATCGGAGTACACAATCAATATGCCCACATTTACAGTATGCATCAATAAGCGCAGAGACGACGAATGGGTCAAAAGAGAGTTGGGTTTTGATGGCGAAGGCATGAATTGAGAGGACTAAGGAGAGGGAAGAGAGGTAAGCACAGGCATTGAGAATAGAAGGAAGGGTGAATTTATCGGGTATTAAGTTTGAGCGGAGCATTTTGTCGAACAGGTGGAGGGCAAGAAATGGGTCAGTTGATGCAAAGTATTTGATGAGGAGGTTGAAAGTGAGGACATTGTTAGGGGTTTGAAGGAGAGAGGAGAGGAGAGAGAAAGAGGGGGAAGATGGGTAGAGGGAGCGCAGGCGGAGGGTGAGGTTAACATTGCGGTGGAGGTTGTGCTTTAAGATTTGTGCGTGGATGGATTTGAGTTGGGGGAGGGTGAGGGGTTGAGATAGGAGAGCTAGGAAGTAGGAGTAAGG